AGCGGGCAATACACAACAAAAGAATATCGAAAAAGAGGCGACTTTTTCCAAAGACGCAGTTTGAAACACAATAGAAACATTTAAATACTCTCTAGAAGATGATAAAAATTTTGGGGACTATTACAGACGTCATAAAGACATTTTCAACATTGATTACCAAAACTGGACGAAAGCTAAGAAGTTACGTTTATTACTCAGGAAATTGGGAACAGAGGAGTACACAAAATTTGTGGACTATATTCTACCAAAAAGACAAACGATCTGATGTTTGATGAGGCAGTTAAATGTCTTACGGAGATTTTCAGTCCAAACACTTCACTTTTTCACAAAAGCTAGAAATGTCTCAACCTCGTAAAAAGCGAAAATGAGGACTACTCCACGTTCGCTGCAATTGTGAACAAACATTGCGATGACTTCAAATTAGCAGAATTGACTCCGGACAATTTTAAGTGTCTTATTTTCGTACAAGGATTAGTTTCAGCCAAGGACAGTGAAATGCGCAAAAGAATGCTCTCGAAACTTCAAAACGAGCCTGGATTAACGCTACAAAAATTGTCAGAAGTCTGCCAAAAATGGTTGAGCATAAAAAAGACTCTAATGATTTCGAGGAATCGGGAGTAGCACACATACGTAAGCTGAACAAAAAGTTACGATTTTCACCACCCCCTCTTCAGAAAGAAAACAAAAATTTTATGATAAAGAAAAAATTACATGGTATAAGCCGATTAAAGACAGAGATCAAAGCAAATATAAGCCCCCCCCCACCATTTGCGTGTTACATATGTGGTGGATTCCACTGTTATAAAGACTGTGGATTTAAATACCAGAACTGTTTAGCTTGTGGAAAAATGGGACATAAGGCATCTCAATGAAGGCAAAAAAAACACACTAGTAGGGTAAGAACTACTAGAATGGACTACGAAGACAAACTAAACACAAGAAAATACGTGGAACTCGAGATCTTAAATAAGAAGGTAAAATTACAGTTAGACTCAGGATCGGATCTAACTATAATTATAATAATATTAACTATACAAACATGGAGGAAGCTAAATAGACCGACCATGATGCATACACAGAAAATAGCTAAATCTGTTACAGGGAAGCGTATCAAATTTGAAGGAGAAGTCTAAACGTAAAATTCCATGGAAAAACGAAAAAATTGAAAATATTTGTAATGAAAGACACAGAAAATTTGGTGGGCACAGACTGGATGCAAAGATTTGACGTATGGGATTTACCTATTAGCTCATTTTCTAAGAAAATAGTGCGAGCCGTCAGAAGCTACAAAATTAAAAGAAGAACTACACAGTCAATTTCCCAAAGTATTCTCGAGCGGGGTGGGACAATGTAATAAGTTTGCAGCTAAAATTGAACTAAAGGAAAATGTTCAGCCAGTATTCAAGAAAAAGTGAAACATGCCTTTCGCAACCATAGAAAAAATTGACAAGGAGTTAGATAGATAGGTACAAACTGGAATCCTTTCACAAATCGAATTCTGTAAATGGGCGGCACCAAAAGTTTACGTAAAGAAAAAATCCGGAGAAACCCGTGTTTGCGCAGATTTCTCGACTGGGTTAAACAAGGCTATCAAGGATTATCACTACCCACTGCCAAGCCCGGAGGAAATATTTACCAAGCTTAACGGTGGTAAGGTATTTTCTAAGATTGATTTAAGCGAAGCTTATCTTCATATTCCAGTAGAAGAAGAAAGTACAAAAATTCTATGTATCAATACTCACAAAGGACTTTACAAATTTAACAAATTGCCATTTGGGATAAAAGTAGCACCGTCTATCTTCCAACAAACGATAGATAACATGCTCATGGGACAGAACTTTGCTACTGCTTACTTAGACGACATTTTAATCAAAAGTGATAATGTAGAAGAACACGCAACGCACATTAAAGTTTTTAAAAGAAATCAGGATTTTGTTTTTAAGGTGAAGGAGAGAAAAACGAGATTTTTTTCTAAAAGAAATCAAATATTTAGGCCATATAATCAAGGAAACTGGCAGAAAACCAAATCCAGAGTTGCAAAGTTTTCTTGGTCTAGCGAACTATTACGGGGAATTCAGTGAAAATATACACAAATTGAAGGCTTCCCTCAATGAATTATTGAAAAAAGATAACAAATGGAACTGGACGGTAGAATGTCAGAAAGCGTTTAAGGAGACCATAAAGAAAGTAACGTCTGATCTAGCACTGACGCATTTTTATCCCAAAATAGAAATTATCACTGCTAGTGACGCAAGCTCACACGGAGTGGGAACTTGTATATTACACAAGATGCAGGATGGCACAAGGAAACATATAGCTCACGCATCTAGATCGTTGTTACCAGCAGAGAGGAATTATTCTCAAATTGAAAAAGAAGCGTTATGAATAATATTCGCCATAACTCGCTTCCACAGATACATATATGGAAGAGAGTTTACTCTTCAAACTGAACATAAACCTCTTCTCACTATATTCGGATCGAAAAAAGGACTACAAATTTACGCAGCCAACAGACTTCTGAGATGGGAAACTATATTATTGAATTATAATTTCAAACTAGAGTTCCTACCGTCGAAGAAAATTGGGCATGCGGATGGATTATCTAGATTGGTACCTGCGAAATTCTGGAAGACTCGGTAATAGAGGCTTTGCGAGCCGAAGACGAAATTAGTAAAGTGCAAAACAATGCAGTAAGGGAATTACCAGTGACCTTGTTAGAAATAAGAAGAGAAGCTGAAATGATGAATTCAGCCCAAGAACCAAGTCCTGAAGATTTATTCTGTCCGGAAGAACATCTATCAACAAATAGATTCGGATAAGATCAGATTGTATGGCATGGCGGTGGAAAATGTCACCCATACTATTAACGCTTGTGGAATGCGTACAGAGAAAGCATCGCCATAATTAATTGGCCTCCTATCTAGATTGTTGCCTTTAAGTATGAACTCGACCAGAAAATGATGATCTTATGATACATGACTAACGAGGCAGATTTTCCCGCAGTAGGTTGCCATTTCTTCTTGCGGTAGACCAGTTGCCATCCAAGGCTATAGAACCCGATCTATCCTGCTATTTACCCACAGCTGTGGCGGGGGGAGAAGAAGAGGATTCCTACCTTTCCCAAGAGTATTAGCATATAAGAGAATATAATAGATTCTTCAATCCGAGCCGCTATCCATTACTCCATCGTGCCTCAATACAATTTACAGGGTTTGATTATCAAACAAGGGGTGCGTATTATGCGCAAGTAGAAGCATTTTCCCACACTTTCAGCACAATTTTAGGTGTGTGTGTTATGGATGAAGGCATATTATACTTGGGGAATTACGGTAATTTATACCCTGTATTGTTTTTACTGCTAACTAATTTTCGAATTACTCAGTTAAATTTCTGTGTCTGTATCATTATTTTTGTGTTAATCTATTTTCTTAAGTGTTAGCATGGTTGAGTAGTAATTTAATTTAATTACTGTATGTATTCCTGTACTCCAATTCATATTCTCAATGCTGCATCCTTTATCCTAGGAGGTGATTTATTATGAACATCCGTATTTATAAAATATCAACGTTAATACACACGCATTCAAAAAAATATTGAAAAGGTTTATTTTTTAAATACTAGGGTTCATTGAATTGTAGTGAACTTTTTCCATTTGTAATTAGTAAATACAGTTTTAATTCAATAATATCACCTGATCACATGAAATTAATACAGAATTTTAAAAGTTTATAAATTGAAATTATCAAATTATTTTAAAAGGTTATAGATTATAATTTCAAAATCTTGAAAGTCATTATTCATCGAATGTTTTTCTTAAAACAATAGTGTCCATAATATATTTTATTGATAAAAGCAATTCAAATTTTTTTTTAAATTGTTTTAATTTTATTGCATTTTTTATTTTACCATTCAGGGCAGATTTAGACGTCCTGTTTGACCAAAACATTTTGATACTTTAAATTCTACAAGAATTTGTCCTTATAGCAAATTAACCGATACAAAAAATAATTTCTCGGAATTTCATAAAAAATTAAATGAATATAGGGTAACGGATGTAAAATAAAAATGTTTTACAAAGATTTTCTAAAAGAATAAACGTTTAAAAAATAATTTCTTTAATTTCTCTATGAGTCCTGAAAGTTTCATCAAAATCGAACTATCGTCTGATTCTTACAAGAATTTCCAAAGCAATGTTTGTCGCAAAAAGAGTACAAATTTCTCGTGTAAATTTAAGGTCTCGTGGTATGCCAAAATAAACAAGTTTTTTAACCCATATTTCCAAAAGAATTGAAAAATTTTTTTGCATAAAAAATCCTTTAACCCCTTACCTGACAAGATCCCCATTAGGGGATCCTTTAAAATTAAACTTACATGTTATTCCTTGTATTTACATTGAATTGCTTACATACATTGCATTTGCAGAGGTATATTTTACAACACTTAGCCTTTAAAGTTTTTATTATTAGCCGTAAGAAGACACTTGCTGTCGTAATTTTACATTTCACAAGTAGAAAAATAATGACTATTATGAAAAGTATTTTTTTATTATTTCTAATCAATATTATTTTTTGATGTTTTATACCCATATATATTTGATGTTCTAGTTTCTATAAAAACGACAATGGTAACTACTGAAATTAAACATGAGGAATAAATAAACTCCTAAGACTGGGCCAAAAATAAGCATTAAAAGTAATTGGCAGTTAATGGGTTAATCTTTCCTCTTAATAATAATACAAGAATGTTGACGATAAAGTTTTATCTTTGTTTTGGGTATTTGTTCATCGTTTATCCTCTTTATTTTTGGAAGAAGCTAAATTTATATAAACTTAATATAAAATTTGTTACGATGCTTCTAAAACAATAAATGACTTAATACAAAAATGATAGCAATCTAAAATCAGAGGCAAGAATTGATTAGTGTGATAGATTATATTTTTGGATGCTCGAAATAATTCGATCTACTGAAGGTAAATTGTTTAATTTGAAACAGCACTTACCGTTTTGATTGTCGATATGCCATAATTTCCCCTGCAATAAATAAAACAATCATTAATGTTTTTATGGGATTTTTTTTTTTTTTTTGCGTAGAATCCACTTTTGTCAATGTCATTAAAATCATCTTCCGAATTCGTACAAATGGAGAATCCATCTTGCACATTTATAAATCTACCATTCGTGCGTGCATTGAATAATGTTGCCAAATCTGGTCAGGTAACTTTTGCTACTTGACAAAATCCAAAGAAGGATCTGCAATGTAATCGATCCTGACTTGGCATCTCGACTTCCGTCACTTTCTCACTGACATGATGTGGCTTCCCTCTGCCTTTTCTACAAATATTTTCAAGACAAGCTTTTTTCCCTGGTGCCCTGACTACATAAATTGAAGCGTGCTACTAAATTGGCATCTACTACCAACTTACTGTTGAAATAGTTAAATGTAACTGCCATTTCTTCTCCAACAGTTTCTTTTCATGCACTTCCCGACAGTGGAACTCCTTCCGTTTCCTTGCTTCCGTGAATACTAAAATCTTCATAAATTTAAATGCAACGCCAATCGCCATCTTCCCGTTCATCTTTTATCGTTTCCTCAATACCCCCACCCACCTTATACCCAGTCTTTTCTCTCATTTTCACACTCTGTGTACCAGTGGCATTACCGCCTTTCTTGATGTGAGATGATTAGGAAAAAAATGATAGGCTTTTTTTCCGTTGAGCAATTACTGATTCTTTATATTCATACCTACGCAGGGGTAGTATAACGGTTAATGGCGCGGTATGTGAAATCGGCGAACCGGGTTCGAATGACGGTTTCTTTAACTCTCTTTTTCACAAGCGCCCTTGTTAAAGATATGAATCCATCTATTCGCCTACCAGTAAAACTAAAATAGAAGAGAAGACAATGCTTTGGTGGAAACCATTCTAGGAGAACGTCTATACTGAATAGAAAATAGTATAGAAGGCGATGAGAAAAATGCAGTATTCGTATACAAATCTTCACCTTATAAATAGCTGTTGATACAGCTGGAGGCTAAACAAATCCTAACCTTCAAGACGAAAAAACGTTGAGAAAAAGTAGTGAAATAGTAAACTTTGTTTAGCCTCCAGCTATATCAACAGCTCTCTATAAGTTGCATATGAATACAGCTATAATAAACGTATCGGGTTTTAATTTAACGACTAAAGATCAATATATAAATCTGCATGCGTATAGATTTGTTCATTGTTTTTTGTTTTTTTTTTTCTTTTATCAGTTACCCACTAGATATTCGTTATATTTATGAAATGAGGTGGTATAATTATTTATAGTCGGATTAATATCCCCATCTTCGTTGTTATTATGTCAACATTTCGGCCGTTACGCTGTCCGGGCTTCTTCAGGTTTCTATCGATTCGGATAACCTTCAAGTAAGTTCCAACTGAACCTTTGATTTAATCTCCGTGTGGATGACGGTGCAGACAGATCCCGTCCTGCTGTCCACGTTAAGGGATATCTCGTCTTGTTCTTTTTAGTTCTATTCAGCTATTAAACGCTTCCTGTGAATATAACAGCTCAAAATGAGAACTCGGAGAGACGAGTTCAAATTCCAGCCGAGTTCGTTACACTCACTTACGTGCATATAGCCTTGGGAAAGGTATGAATACATGTCTTTCCCTCCAACTATGGGTTAAATAGTAGAACTTTTATTTAGAAAAATCATTTTTATCGCCCACAAAATTGTAAATGGAATATTCACTTACAGAAAGGAAAAAGAATTATGCTTATAATCGAAAAGAAGTTTCAGCTTTGAACATTTCAAAAAGGTTGATAAGCCGTAAAAATCCACTGAGTGTGAAATTGTACTACTCAGTTCAGGGACTGAACTCACAATCTCTATATAACGGAATTAATCTTGGTTACTATCCCCGTTTGGAGAAAAGTAATTGTGAAGTCAGTGCCTGATCCAGGCAGTACCGACATCATGGAAACTGAATTCATTTAGAGTCCAAGACTTTTCCACATATTACCGTCCCGATGAATATTCCGAGGTATCTGAATTTCTAGGATGATTTTATTCGGGCAGTTGCCCTCATCTCTTTTTTTTTTTTTTTTTTTTTATTAAATATTTTCACCCAAAACAAGGCGACAATACCACTAAGATGCAAGGGTTGCTGGGAGGCAAAGAGAATGAGAAAACTTTATTCAGGAAAAATTGCTTTGATATTGCTGCCACATCTGTTCTAGTGCTCTTGATATATTTTAGAGATTCTTGATAAAATCCAAAGAACCTGCAATAGTTTTGGTCCTGACCCGGCATCTCGGATTCAGTCACTTTCCCACGCCTTAACATAGTTTACTCTTGCCTTTTCTATAAATATTTTCGTGATAATAGCTCTAATGAAATTTTCTCTATGGTACCTAGACTTTTTTAAATTTAAACGCAGTACTGAATTGGCAGCAAGGTCTCATCATTTCACAGTTGGAATGGCTATATGTAACCACAAGTTATATGTTTTTTTTTCACTCGCACTTCTCGCTTGTGGAACACTCTTCTTGTTTCCTACTTTGACCTTCAAAAATTGAAATGCATTGTTGATTGTTATTTTTGTCGTTTTAACTGTTCCTTTATTTTCTCTCCTTAATAATATATTTTTCTGATATTCTCTAAAACCCAGTAACCATTTACGCCTTAGTGGCTTTATTGCCTTCTTTGGTATAAAATTATTTAAAAAAAGAATGGACAATAAAAGAATAGATTCGGGAAGACAGAAGATGGTGATTGACGTTGCATTTCAATTTTTGATGATTGTAGGCAGCAGGGAAGCAAAAAACCGGAAGAAATTTCCTCAGGCGTGAAGTGCGAGAAAAGAAATGACTATAATAGAAAATACAGTTGTCTCTAGCTATTTTAACAGTGAAACGGTGAGACCTAATTGCCAATCTAGTAGTACGCTTAAATTTATGCAGTCGAATCACCAAGGATGAAAGTCCATTAGAACAATTGCCATGGAAATAGTTGTAGAAAAGACAGAGGGAAGCTAAGTTATAGCGATGGGAAAGTGACTGAAGCCGAGATGCCAGGTCATCAGAATCGATTACATTACAAACAATGAGTACCAGATCAGGCCATTAGTGCCTCAATTTCTCAGCTGAATATCTCTTGAAACCATTGGAGATGTGTATGCTGGTATGTTGGTATGATTAGGTGTCATACTGTTTGCGCTATGTCTACCCACCCTACATCAGGTAGCAAATGTTTTATTATGACAATGGCGGATTGTTTAAATATGTTTACAAAGCTGGGAGGTGAAAAGACCAAAGGACTTAAAATATTATAATTCCTGGCGGTTTGTTCAAACGTGTATTACTGCGAAATCTGGTCAAAAGGTATCGGGACTGTTGCTATGGTAACGGAGCTAAAGTACGCAGAATGAATTCGTGATGGCACAGGTTGACCTTTGAACCTTGTCACGCATGCACAGTAAACTATAAACGTTCTCGCTCACTTCCATGGTTTATTGCAGTGCTTGGAAGGAAAGTGTGTAGAGTGTGGTCGTCTCTCCACACCGCAGAGATCCGATCACTAATCATATCTTGTACAAGCGTTTTTGACCAACCACAACATTCCACAGGTCCGACAACAACCATATTCCCCTTAATTCCAACACTTAAGAATTTGTCCGATACAAAAATCAATCCCACTTCTAATTAACAACCTTTTAAAACGTCAAGAAAAACCAAGAGAATGCGACGTGGCAGCTGCTCGCTATCCCAAAGAAGAGTTCCTGGAATATTTTTACCAATGGAAACAATGCTTGACAAAGTGTGTGGCTTCAGAAGGAGACTACTTCGAAGGAGATTAATTGCAGAAATGATATGTGTTGTATTATTTTTATATGCCACCAATCCTCAAACGTCCTATAAGATAATACAGGGCATAAAGTGAGGGATAGGTTTTCTATTGTTATTAAGTAATAAACTGACTCCTCTGTAGAATTATTAATATAATTTTTAGAAAAATATATATAATGACTGACAAGCGAAAACATGACGATCGGAAGGAATTGACAAAATAATCAGTGATTTTTTTATGCTAAAGGTAAACTATTATTAACATTGGAAATTTTCCTGGGCATAAATTGAGGGATCGCTTTTCTATTGTTATTAAGTAATAAAAGGATCCCCCAAATTACTGCATATCATTCTAATAATTAGATTAAAAAATTATATTATATAATATATAAAATATATTTAAAGACGCATATATAAAAATCTAGTAACAGTTCAAAATAAACAAGACGGCATTTTTTGACTGCTTAGTAAGTTAGTATTAGTATGGGAAGATCCTACTGGGCATAAAGTGAGGGAACGTTTTTCTATTGTTATTAAGTAGTAAACTGATCCTTGAAATAGAATTACTCTATATTAATTGGAAAGTCTATCTAATGATTCCCGTCCGATCACCGGAGTTAAGCAATGTCGAGCCTGGTCAGTAACGAGGTGAGTGACAGCTTGGGAATACCTGGTGTAATAGATAATGGCTTGGAATTGTTAATTGAAGAGCCAAGTTCCAATAGGGTTCGTTATATTCACTTACGCGCAAATACGCTTGGGAAAGAAAGAAATCCACGTCTCCTCCCCCCCAGTTATGGGTTAAATAATAAAACTATCACTAAACCATTATTATATTTTTTTAAAAATCCGTACAAACTATTTAGATTTCGGCATTAAATAACCCATAGAGCTTGATATCCCACTAAACAAAATCAAACTACTGTAGATGTAACCGTAAGTTCTATGCTAACAGTTCCCTCCCTCTTACTTTTCGCTTGTGGAACTCTCTTCCAGCTTCTTGCTTCCCAGTCAATTTTGATCTTCAAAAATTTAAATGTAATGTCAATCATCATCTTGTCTCTTTGAATCTTATACTTTTATCGTTCTCTCTTGTTAATAATGATTTTTTTTTCAGATTTGTTCACCTTGCGTCTCAGTGACTTTATTGTCTTGCTTCGTCTTAAATCTTCGCACTTCTCGCTTATTAAATTCTCTACCGGTTTCTTGCTTCACAGTCAAATTTGATCCTCAAAAATGTAAATGCAACATCAAACGTCATCTTTTGTTTTCTTAATTCTTATTGTTTTATTGTTCTTTCTTTTCAATGTTAGATTTTCTCTTACTCAGTAACGCCCTTGCGTCCTATTATTGCCCGGCTTAACGGGAAAAAAAAACCCCTAATGACTCACTTTCAAATAATAAGTAATTAACGTAATAATAAGTATTGATCGATTTATATTTCTGACTTATTTAAAGCCGAAACATATTTCGGGTTGTAGGAGGTCGCTTACAGTAGACAATGACCCCCTAGTCCTTCTAAGTACTGACCGGGGATTGACTTAACTTCGGCGATCGGAAGAGGTCGCTTACAGTAGACAATGACCCCCTAGTCCTTCTAAGTACTGACCGGGGATTGACTTAACTTCGGCGATCGGAAGAGGTCGCTTACAGTAGACAATGACCCCCTAGTCCTTCTAAGTACTGACCGGGGATTGACTTAACTTCGGCGATCGGAAGAGGTCGCTTACAGTAGACAATGACCCCCTAGTCCTGACCGGGGATTGACTTAACTTCGGCGATCGGGAGATAACCGACATTTTCCGTGTGACTTGACCGCAAACAATGACACAACTAAACTAATCATAAATGTTTTTGTTTTTTTGTTTTTTTTGTTTTGTTACTAAGTAATAAAGTGACTCTTATATGCAGAATTTCTTTATCCCGTGACCCGTAGGAGAACCATGTCTACTGCAGCTGCAGTAGAAGTGGTATTTCTTGGGGAAGATAGCCGGTTTTGAATTCAGAGTTATTTCTTTTCCTGCCATCAAAGGTTAGGGGAGAAGAGGATTCATGCCTTTCCTAAAGGTATTAGCACGTAAGTGAATGTAATGGATTCGACTGGAATTCGAACTCGGCTCTCCGATTCCTCAATCCGAGCCGCTATCCATTACTCCACCGTACTTAATTAATTACTACATATTAATGATAATTGGAATTATTATTTACGCTATTTGTAGTTGGATTAATGACTTCATCTTTGTTTTTGGCCGTTGAGCTCTCCGGCCTTCTTCAGACATGGACACCGTAAAGTAAATGAAGGTTTCAGTTCCAAATTCCACGAAGGTTAATCGAATTGACATACACCTGAAGAAAGCCAGAGACTGCAACATCAGGAACGTTGTGATAACAACAGCAAAGATGAGGATAGTAGTCCAACTATAAATAATCATCAGATTTACATTGATAATGTAAAGTAATATATGCGTTCAACCGTTTTTTTTTCTTTTTTTGTTGTTGTTGTTTTGGGTTTTTTTTTTTTTGTTTTTTGGGGTGTTTTTTTTTACCTATTCGCTAAAAATGAGTCTGACGCAGTACACTGGTAAACCTTTGTAAGCATATTTTTTATGTTTCATATTTCACCCCAATATGGTATGGTAATGTATTTGGAGAATGTGATAGATCCAGAGATTTAAACACACACACACACATACATACACATATATATATATATATATATATATATATATATATATATATATATATATATATATATATATAGTGTGCATGTGTGTGTGAGAGGTGAAGTGGAAAAAGTTTGTGTGACATGTTTTGTTTTTTAAGACTTACGCATCACAAGAAGACTTTTTCCTTTTTTCACTTTGTCATACATTTTTCCCAATATTGTTCTTGACATATTATATACACACACAAACACGCATATACAAACAAACACGCATACACACACAAACACGCATACACACACAGTGTTTGGAAAGTTACTGTGCACTTTTCTAATATTTCTTATGTTTCAGATTTCACCCCAATATGGTTTTAACAACTAAAGAACATGTATTTTGAGAAGGTGATAGATACAGAGATTTGGTGCAACAAAGTTTTGCTAATAAATTTTCCTATTCACCTGTTCCACATTGCAATGCAATTCATAACCTTGTTGAATGAATTACTGGAAACATGATCGGTGGACGATGCCAAACGTTGTGGAAGGCCAACAAAGCTATTAGAGGAGAAACTGTTGGATATTTCTGACAGTTTGCAGCAGGGTCCAAGAAAATCATTACGAAAGTTAGCACAGCAGCAAGATATTGGTCTTGGAACTGCACATAAGGCCATCGGATAAAAATGAAAACAGCCAAAACCCACTTCTCAACCACAGTCATTTTGACTTTTGGTTTTCTAGACATATATTGTCATTCTGTCATTAGAGGGTTTTTCAATTTTCTGTATAATCCATAGGATGTTCGGAAAGTTACTGTGCACTTTTCTAATCGTATATTTTATATTTCAGATTTCATTTCAGGTCATTTCTATTGACTCAATGTAAATCAGAATAACCAGCTGAATGTTCCTTGCAGATGGTATCATCCAGGCAACTCCGACCACGCGATAGTGTCTGTCCTTATAACAACTATATTTATAATTTTCATTCATCTTGTCCTCCTTTATTCTATATTGAAACATGTCTGTCAATAAAACTATAAATGCATAGTGGCTTTCAGAACACCCTGTATATATTTCTTTTGCAGGGACCCCAAACCAAAAATATCTTCATCTATCCTCCCTATCCTCATATTCTTTAATTCCTACCACCTTCTCGCGAATTCATCTGACACACCTCATTCAATAACTCGCCACCTTCTGTGGGTTTCAAACCTTGCATTGGGTCAAATTTAGTAAAAACAAATACCATGAAAATCTTCGTCTGACACACAGTAAAAATTTGGGAGGTGTAGCCATTACGATCAAAATAATCACTTTTGCATTTTTTTCCCATATTATTATAGATGAACCACCCCAGATCACGAATATTATTTGATTGAATGATTTTATTTTTTTACGGTTTATCAACCCTTTCTAGATTATTTAAAGCCGAAACATATTTTGAACTAGGGGAATATTTTTTTTTAATATAACAAAACTGACTGGAATTCGATATTGGCTCTCTATCAAGAATTTTAAAAATATTAATTAGATTTTATAAAATCTGGTAGGCAGATTCAGTGTACTATGTAAATTAATTTTAAATAGCCCTCCCTACGGAAGCCAAAACAAATATGCTCATACGACATGCTTTCTTAAAATAGAATAAAAAAATTGTTTTGAAATTCATAATATCGATAATCGATAGCAATAGATGAAAATAAGAACTCTAGATTAAGCATTTCAAATTTTGAAGAATACATTTTAACAATCACATGGTATTAGCACATTTTTAGTAGAGGGGGCGATCAATTTACAAAGAATTTATATAGAAAACTTGACCCCATAAATGTTTAATATGAAAAAGAATTTTGAAAAAATAATTCTATTCGCAGCGCCTATTGTAAAAATGCCACTAAAATTATTATTTTTTTTTTTTTAAGCATTCAACATCAAGCAAGACGGGAAGCCACTAGCACGCGAAGGGTTTCAGAGTAGAAGCGAAAACAAAGAGGAGTGATAGAGGAAAGGATGAAGAGAAGGATAGGGGATAGATCAAATTATTTGGAGACGTCGATTGACATTACATTTGAATAGTTGGAGATTATAGCTATCAAGGAAACACGAAAAGGGGAGGTATTTCCACAGGCGAGAAGTGCGAGACATGAAGCTATTGGAGTAGAAGAGACGGCTACATTTAACAGTTTCGACAGTGAAAGGGTGAGAGCGAGATGCCAGCCTAGATGAACGCTTAAATTCATGAAGTCTGGGAACCAGCGAAAGCAGCTCGTCGGAGCAGTTACCATGAAAGTATTTGTAAAAAAATACAAAGGGAGGCAACGGAACATCTGTGAGAGAGAGACTGCAGACGAGATGCCAGATCAGGGCCAATTACATTGCATATCCGTCTTTGGATTTCATGATCGAAATCAACAAACGTACACAAACACATGCACATATATACATACAAACACATACACAGTTTTCATACACATATACGCATACATAAATACATACATACACACAAAATCTTTTAAATTATGAAATCAAAATTATTAAATTATATTAATTATTGAATTACGAAATTAAAATTATGAAATTAAAATTACTAATTATAAAATTAAAATTATTAAATTAGAATTATCAAGTTATGAAATTAAAATTAATAAATTATAAAATTAAAATTACTAAATTATGAAAAATGAAATTATTAAATTATAAAATTAAATTTAATAAGTTATAAAATTAAAATTACTAAATTATGAAATTAAAATATTTGAATTGTGAAATTAAAATTAAATCATGAAATTAGAATTATTAAATTATAAAAGTTAAAATTACTAAATTATGAAATTAAAATTATGAAATTAGAATTATTAAATTATAAAAGTTAAAATTACTAAATTATGAAATTAAAATTATAAAATTATAAAATTAAAATTACTGAATTGTAATAAAACTAACCGTCTTCACTATGATAGGATTTTCTTGGACGAGATGTGGAATACGACATTGCAACTAACGATCGTCTTTGAATGGGTAAGTGACTAATGGTGGCCATGTTGGATATTGGTACTTTGGGATATTCAATACTGTGTACTGCCGGTTGGTAATTGAACATGGCATTCGAGTATCGAAGGACGGCTGAATGACCAACGGGTACTGGAGGCATTCGTCGGACGACCACAGTGCGATAATCCAATTTATCGAACTTGTTCATTAAGTGTTGTTTTTTTGCTTCATTCGCCATTAGAGCCCTGTAATAGAGAAAAATGTATTAGAGAAAAATACTTTTGAGTTCTGTGTCGTCTCGAGAACCCCACGATATTAATTAAAGAAAACGGTATCAACGAAAAGGGTCATTTACTTTTGGCATTCATATTATTAACCTTAGTAGCTTGGATTCTAAGAGGCAGTAAGCAGGACTGATGTGACAGGAAGACATATCGCACGTTGGTTCTGCGTCCCTCGGCGGGTGGTATAGCCGATCGCAAACCTCGGCGTGGGAGGCATATCGACGTTTCAGAATTCTTGAGACCGTTAAATTCGCACCATTTTTAGACTTATATGCAAAACCCAGACAAAGGTAATCCATCATTGTCAGAATTCCCTACCCACGGGTCACTCCGGTCAATCGCTGACCATTCAGGCCCTGGCCTTCGCATTCTGTAACAATGTATTTTTAAAAAGCTTGAATACTCAGCCTGGTAAAAAAAAAATTGCATGAAGGCAGACGTTAAATAAAAAGAGGTCTAGATTTTTTTATATATATTAATGTTCACCCAATACAAGGCCCGAGAGCCACTTAAGATCCGCGTCTTGGGTAAGGCGATAAACTACACCCAACAGCAACGCCTCTCATCAGGAAGTTTTGAGAGAACGTGGAACTACCTCTTAATTGCTCGTGTTCCCAGGTCCACCCTGACTGTTAGGGTCCCAGCTATGGACAAATAGTTAACATCCAAAGCGGGGGTCAAAACACTACGAAAGCGTAAAAATATGTTTTAATACCAGCAATACATTTTTGCAAAAAGTTATTACAAGCAATGAATTTTTGAAGATAAAATTATTACCAGCAATATATTATTAACAGCAATACATTTTTGAAGAAAAAAATATTACCAGCAATACATTTTTGGAAAATAATAATAATAAATTTCTTGTCGGCTTTAAATAACACATTGGGGGGTTGATATGTCGTAAAATAAAATAAACCAAAGCAAAACAGAATATGTATTCTTTGTAACAAATCAATTTGTAGGAGATCAAGTTTCATTGAAATATTTTTCTAAATAGGGTTTTTGTAATGAATCAAATATATTGCTAGTAATATTTTCTTTCAAAAATGAATTGCCGTTATTTTTACTATAAAAACCTATTTTTATAATTTCATAGTGTTTTGAACCCAGTTTGGGGTATTTTCCCATAGCTGGGACCCTAACAGGTGCTACTTCCCCTGGAACAGATGGACTTGGGAACAGCAATTATGAGATGGTTCCACTCTCCTTAAAACCTCCTGATCAGAAGTTTTGCTGCCGGATGTAATTTATCGTCATACCCAGGACGTACGTACGAATAGCGAGGAAACAGAAAAGCATAAAAATGTTAAGAAAAACAATTATATAGAGACTTTATGAGTAAAACCGACATCTAAACTGAATGATTGCGTAAGACATACTTAGAAATAAACAAAATTAATAGCGGCCTAGACGGATATCATAAAAAGAATGATTATACGGGTGGCGAGGTCATGACAAAAAAGAAGAGCCTCTTTGTTTTGCAATATCTGGATTCTGTCATTATTTCTGTTCGAGTTAAATGTGCTATTTTTATTGTTGCCGTTTTTGAATGTCCGATATTTGGTACAGTTCTTTTGTGATTCTGTAGCGCGAAGCCACAAGGGTCAGAGATGAGTTCTCTGAGCGATCATCAAGTCCTGAGATTGGAATTTCAAAATCAAGCGTTTATCACCTTTTGAAGTGATGCCATTTAAAAAGTTTCACGCTAAGGATCATCCATGAATTTAATGAAGTTGATCCAGATAAGTGGATGGATTGACTGGTTGATTTGTTATTTAATCGGCATATCAACCGCTATATGGGTCATTAATGCCGAAACGGTTGATTGTTGGATTTTCTTCAGTGGCATGACAACCTCCATGGGCCACTCAATGCCGAAATACAAATATTTTGTACGCAACTACACATGTTTTTTTTTGTTTGTTTTTTGTTTGTTTTTTTTGTTGTTGTTTTTTTTCAGTCTATTAGGATCTGCTTAACTGAGCAATTAGTCGCAAGAGATGCATCGAGTTGTAGTTTCTACTTTGTGTAAGTATTTGTGTGTATGATTTGTATGTTCAATTCAGACTTTGCTTGACATTATGTCTTGTCTTCGATCAGGTAATGGTACTTGGTTGATTGTTTCAAAATATATCCCAAATTGTTAGCCATTTTCTTTTAAAGTATTGGGTGAACTTATTTTTTTAATCTGTCTACAAGAGTCTAATGTCTCTCATTGTCATATTGGTTACCTCTTTTGCCAGTGTTTCAGCTTTTTGATTTACCTTAACGCCTACATTATGAGTGACGAGAAAGTGGAAGCTGGCAAGATGTGTAGAGGGTACACATTTTTCATCAAAGATTATTTGTAGTGATCAAACATTTAAATTAAATGACTCTATTGTCCGACAAAATTACACCTGCTTGGGACCTGAGAATCATATATATATATATATATATATATATATATATATATATATATATATATATATATACTCGACTCTCCCGTCGAATTCGACGTATGAGGGTCAAGCAGATCAGCTCCTAGGAAACCGACAGCCCGACAACAGCACAGGAGATTTGATTTGATTATAGTGGTGAAGGTTTCGTGCAGGACCATCCACACTTTTTGAAGGGCCGAATATAGAGACCTGGTGCACTACGTGCCACAAAGTCCCCAAACGACCCTCCGCAGGTTTTGAATTCAGAGTTGTCTTTCTCCTAGACGAGTTGCCAGCCAAGGCTATAGAACCCAGTCTGTCCTGGTATTTACCCACAGCTGGAGAGAGAAGAAGAAGGGTATTAGCACTTGCAATTAGCAACGTGAAGCCCAAGGAGGCAGTCTTTTTGCTTGCAAAGAGACGGCTCCCTGGACCGAATATACAGAGACTTAAGTGCCCTCAAATGAAATGGAGAGTGCGAACTGGACAGTACAGTAAACCAATTCGGACATAAGTTCTTCGCACAATCCCTGCAATTTATCAAATGTTCAGTGATCGCTGACCCGGAAGTATTAATCAACTGGCTCTTACGGGCATCCGGATTAAGAATTCGCAATGGGACATGCTGCCTGATCCTACAATCTAAACGTTGGGAAGTCCTTCCTATGTAGTTGCTACCGCAACCACATTTAAAAGAATAAATCACGGAAGAAACATGATGGGGAGGAAGAGGATCCTTACGCATAGAGGAAAAGGCAGAACGAGTCGCAAAATGAATCCTTAGTTGAGCAGAAAAATAGAAGTGATGGACAGCAGACAAGACCCGCCTAGCCACAAGCTCGCCCCGGAAACCAATAAAAGGAAGCTGCAAGTAAATAGGACATTTCTGAACTAAGTATTGTTTTTCCTTTCGAAAATTAATAATTTTATCACGCATGACACTGTCAAGAGTATCACTAGGATATCCATTTTTTAATAGAGTGCAGCGGATAAAATCCAATTCTTCATCCAAATATTGTTCACTGCAAATCATCAAGGCCCTATGAGTTAAGGTCTTGATGAGATTGATTTTACGCTTTCTGGGACAAAATGAGTCCCAACGCGTATACAAACCAGAAAACGTTGGTTTGCGAAACACCGAAGTAAGAAATTGAGAAGGAGTCCGATGCACAAGGACATCAAGAAAAGAGAGACAAGAATCAGACTCCTTTTCGATGGTAAATTTTAAAGATGGATGAAGTTGGTTCATAACTGTGAGAAAGGAATCAGCTTCCACTTCACTATTAAAAAGACAAAATGTATCGTCCACATACCGACGGTACATAGACGGCGCATTGTCATAAGTGAGGAGGGACGACTCATAAAAGCCCACAAAAATGTTTGCCAAAGCGGGGCCCAAAGGGGAACCCATAGCAACCCCATCAATCTGTCTGTACATAAAATTGTTAAAGCTAAACTCCACAGACATGGTAGCGAAATGCATAAGCTCAATAAACACATTTTCTGGAATATCCGGAGGTGACAAACTACTTCGATATAACATGTTACAACAAGTATCAATAATTTCCATTACTGGAACACAAGTAAACAGAGAACATACGTCAAAGGAACACATAAATTTATTTTTAGAAGGAGTATCACGAATAACCTGAATAAACGAAAAAGAATCTTTAATAGTATACGAGCTAAAATGTTCAACAACAGGTTCAAGAAGGTTTGAAAGAAAACTCGCAACCTTATGTTGAGACGAGGCTGACATGGACAGGATGGGTCGAAGGGGCACATCATCCTTATGAGTCTTCGGAAGACCATACAGACGAGGACGAATAGACCCAACAGGTATAATATCATCAGTGACTTCACGGGATATGAAACTACGTTTAGCCCAAGATAAGAGTTTCTTTTGAAATTTAATTTCTAAAGGAATTGTGCGATCATGTGTCTCTACTGGACCAAGAGGAAGAAATTTTGTAGTGTCACCAAGAATGTTTTACATTTTGGAGATATAATCAGAATGGTCCAATAGGACAATACCAGCCCCTTTATAAGGACGAGTAATAACCAAGTTATTATTTGCTTTTAAGGGTCCTGACTACGGACCGGTGCTGTTGACTCCACTTAGACTCAGAAAGGGCTACAGGAGTTAAAGCATAAGTATGTGCCAAATTATTAATAGTAGCCTTAAGATTAGAAAGTGAGTCAGAAGAGCGAGGCACAAGTCTACACAACTGCGAAGATAACACTTCAAATTCGGAAAAAAAATTTCCTTATCAGAAACACTAAATGGAACGCAGTGGTCAAAGCCATGCGAGAGTATACTAGACTCTATCTCAGAAAGCTCGTAAGTGGACAGGTTAACGATAACTCCCGAAATTGTTTCCCCAATATGTCCAAACCGTTTACTAATTAAATGCTGCAACTTAGATTGTGTGTCACTAGATAATTTTCTTAAACATTTAGAATGAATAGAGCCCACATAATGACAGAACCTAATCCTATCAAAAAATGAAAGGTAGGTTAAACATTCTCTACGAAGAATAATAAAATCACGGGTCAGTTGATGGATTCTATTTGTCCAAAGCTGAATAGAATCCCTCATGAAAATCTCATTTTAGGCCTGGATTCAGTTTTGCACTCCTAATTCTAAACAGAAAAGAGGAGGGACAAACATGATTATCAATACAGGCTTGAAGAAATTTACAACTATTTTTTTAATTTTCTCAATCTTGCCTTAATAAGAAGAAATTTATCAAGTTTTTTGATAATATCTTTAGAATACCTCCGCTTAAAATATTTAAATAAATTGCTGGAGGTACAGAAACGTAATATTGCAAGGAACAGATACAATTTTTTTTCCTTTGTTCTGTGCATATTTGCGCGGTTTGAAATATACTTATTTTTTTTCCCCTCATACCATTAATCATTTCATTTTTTAATGTTTTAATTGTATGTAGGGTGTTTGTGTGAGTCAATATATATTGCAATAATTGTTAAATTGTTCCGAGTCGACCATGATGAGCTTGGGAACGAAACCGGTTGGTCGGTTCTGTAAGTCTTATCATCTCTTATTTTTTATTTTTCATAATGCCTTTAGGAAATAATTTGTATCTATTCCTTGCACTATTACGGTTCTGTACCTCCAACAATTTATTTAAATTTATTATATATATATATATATATATATATATATATATATATATATATATATATATATATATATATATATATATATATATATATATATATATATATAAAACAAACTTCTGATAATTTATAATGATATATATATGTGTGTGTATATATATATATATATATATATATATATATCATTATAAAATATCAGAAGTTTGTTTGTCTTTTAATCGATATCACCCCATGCAAGAATCACTTCCATGTGGAAGAATTAGGAACAGAAACATTAATAATGAACGGGAAGAGAAAAGAGTAATAATGAAGGACAGTAAATGGCAAATGAGATTGCATTTAAATTTTTGCAGATTAAAGTTGGCTAGAAAGCATGGGTCTGGAAGGGTGTTCAACAAGCGAGAAGTACGAGTAAGTGTACTGTTAGCATAGAACTTACAGTTACATCAAGCCAGCTTAACTGTAAATTGATGAGATCTCGTAATCAGTCTAGTACTGCGCTTAAATTAAAAAGTCAAGGTACCATAGCGAAGAGCTCATTTGAAGAATTACCATGAAAATAATTATCGAAAAGTCTGAGAGACAACCTTACGACGGTGGGAAAGTGACTGAAGTTTGGGCGAAGATTATCACCCAAAGAATTAATTGGACCATTCTTTTTTATATTAATGGAATTGGTCCTGTTTACTTGAACTTCTTGCCACAAGGCGTACAGGTTTGATTCGCTCGAAGGCATTTTTAACTATTTATCCGAGAAAGTTGGTTTATAAATTTGATCGTTCAGATATTTCTGAACGGGTCTAGCGATCTCACTGAGCTCTGTATTGCTGGCCTCTATGAGAATACCGAGGAAGGTTCTAAAGAACTGAGGTTACTTGCTGCAATCTCCATCAGATACTGTGGCTGTGAAAAACACAACGAGGAAAAAGAATAAAATACTGTGAGGAACTTACTTAATTGCACAATATACTATTCCAACAATGGCGCCAATAAACAAAAGGCAAGCAAATATCGAACCCGCAATAATACCAGCCAATTCTCCAGAGTTTTGGGATGCATTACAACCTGAAAAAAAGAACAAAAAAGAACAAATGTAAGTAAATCCGATACTTTCGAAATATATCAAACTAGATTAATATAAATCTTAATATATTTCAAACAAAATATATATATATATATATATATATATATATATATATATATATATATATATATATATATATATATATATATGTATTTTTTTTTAAGCATTTAAAACAACATGCCTGGCGGCGTACACAATTCAGGAAAACACAACTCTACTTAAATATGAAAACAATAAACAAAAACTAAAAATTCTTGAAGCTATATACATAAAACAGTTGAAACCTAACCTAAACAAAATAAACTATGAAATCTTCACAAATATTCTTAAATGCCTATAATTGATAATAAAAGCCATCGGTTTATAACAACGGCTTCCCATACTTAATACTTCTCGTTTTCACTCTCGCATGGTCATGTGTGACGTCACGATCTACGAGGCATACACGACGTATACACGAGTTTGTCGTTGCTTTGAAAATTTTCATGCAATAAAAACAGATTATCATTATTGTTTCGTCCGTGTATTGTTTGATATATTGAAATGTAATTGTCATCTTATGTAAGCCGAAAGCTTAGACTGGATTTAAACATGTATCAATATGGGGATTTCCTTTCGTCTTTCAATGATATGTTATTAAGCTTATCAGACAATATGAAAGGAACTTACTTAAAATATTTAGACAAAACTTGTCTATATTATTTAATGAAACATGCATCAATATATATATATATATATATATATATTGTATTGGGGTAGCAGATCATTCTTTATATATATATTGTTAAATATAGCAGACAAAGAATGTTTATTATGTTTGATCATAATCTTCGTATAGTTGCTTTATTTTCAGGAGAAAATAAAGACAAAAATTGTCCAACATTTGGATATTTTTTTTATTAAGCTCTTCCTTGATCTAAGCTTTCAGCTCACATGAGCTATCTTCGGAGTTGTTATATGGACATTTAAACAAATATATTCACCATCAAAGATAATATTCTGGTATTCTTCGATGTCAACATAACAGAATATAATCTTTGATGGTGAATATTCAATTTTAGAAAAGAATCAGCCTCTCACATCTTCTTCATATATATATATATATATATATATATATATATATATATATATATATATATATATATATATATATATATAGTTGCGTTGATATAAGTTTGTGACCCTGAGTTTCACGCACTTATCCTAGAACAAACATCCATTTTGTAAGAACAGCGCAAGTCCTCAGCCTCTGGGAGTAAAGTATATATATATATATATATATATATATATATATATATATATATATATATATATATATATATATATATATGTATGTAATTTTATATATAATATATGAGCGGCACTTATTGGAGAGCTCTCAATATCAGTGATAGAGCTCTCATATTTAGTTGCGTTAATGTGAGTTTAGGACCCTGGGTTTCACGCCCTTATCCTAGGTCGATCATATCCATTTTTTTAAGAACAGAGCGAGTGCTCAACCTGTAAAGGAACGAATATCACTGATATTGACCGCTTTGCAATAAGTACCGCGCATATATAATATATAAATAACATATATAAATTGCGCACACATGACGTGCGCACGCACACACAAAACACACACACACACACACACACACACACACACACACATATATATATATATATATATATATATATATATATATATATATACACACGCATATTATACATCTACTTCGCTCCCCACATGTTTTTATAACACTACTGGACTCTACTTTGAGCAAAAAGAATGTATAATTTCTCTCCAAGATTAACAGAAGAATCGTCATGAAATCGATCATAAACGAAAATGATGACATGTTCATTATTAATTAATCATAGATAAGAATCGGAAGGCCATGAAGGAGTGAATATATATATATATATATATATATATATATATATTATTCCAGGATCATTCCCCCAAAATATTCAAGATGATCTTCGTCATCTCTAACCTTCTAATTTTTTGTCATAACTGAAAATCGTATCTCACGTGTCAAACGTGTTATGTACTCAGTTGGATTTTTTTCTAACTGATTCTCCTTCGGTCGAAGTTGTAATGATGATCACTCTTCATGATACAACCTCCTGCTCCAGCTCTCTACTGTTCCCTCTTTTTTAGCCTTATTCGCCATTCCTTTGATGGTTCTTCAGTGGACTTTGAAGGTGGAAGCCATATTTTAAATGTTGGTGACACGACTGAAGGCGTGAATGATCTAAACCACCATAGCTACCCATTGTTACATCACCAGGTTCATTTAGGAAATAAGAATTCATCCAAACATTTTAATTTTTTCTTGTTGTCCTCTGACCATTAGCTTGCTATTCTGGGCCAACCTCTCCATTCTGTAATATCTGACACCCACAGAGCACTATAATTATACAGAGCGGTTCAAGGCGACTACTCCTCGGTCACGATGGCTTGTGAATATTACAATTATATTAGGAAATATAATATGCTTAATTTAACTTAATATAGGCAAATTTCACAGAGATTAAGCAACATCGAGCCTGTTCAGTACCTAAATGGGTGACAGCTTGGGATAATAGGTGCTGTAAGCTTCGATATGCAGGTGGTGTAATGGATAATGTCTGTAAATTTTTAACTGGAGACCCGAGTTCCAATTCCAGTTGGGTTTGTTATATTCACTTACGCGCAAATACTCTTCTGAAAGGCATGAATCCAGTTATTCTCCGCCTTCCAGCTACGAGCTAATTAGTAAGACATATGACTAAATCATTATTATCTAAAAAAATTGTTACAATCTAAAAAAAATATTTTCTAGCTTTAAATAACCTGCAATGGGTTGATAAGCCGTAAAAACGAATCAATCAATCAATAAACCAAATACTGATTATCTACGCTGGCATCTCTTTTAGATTCATTTGCATTCTCTGGAGTATAGAAACTGCAGTGGCCACGAAGTGAGGGATCAGTTTACATACTGATTATAATGTAGAATTGATCCCCAATATTGTAACCTCATTGTAATTTATCGTTTATTACATTCATTAGGTTTGAAACCATCTATTCTCCCCTGGTTTATTAGTAAGACTTTTGTCACTGAATCATTATTATCTCTAAAAAAATATTCCTAATATTTGAAAATATTAGCTGGCTTTAAATAACCTGCAATGAATTGAAAAGCCGTAGAAAACGAATCCATCAATCAATGAAATACTGATTAACTACACAGACATTTTTATTTATCTTCATTCTTTGAAATATAAATGTATAGAAACTAATATGGCCACAGAGTGAGGGATCAGTTTATATATTGATTGTAATACAGAATCGATCCCTCACTTTTATATCCACGTTGAATTTCTTGTTTGTTTATCAAATTTTGATTAGGTATAAATCAACCTCTTCCCCCCCCCATCTATGGATCAATTAGTAAGACTTATATCAGTAAATCATTATTATGCAAAAACAAAATATATTTTTACAATCTAAAAGTATTTTCAGGCTTTAAATATCCTTCAAAGGGTTAATAATCAATCAAGATAGACAAAATAAAAGCATAATTATTCGGGGCATCGTACTAAGTGGCGATAATCTTTGTGTATTCTTCTTTTTTCAGGACACGATGATGACCCTTAACATGTTAGTGTCTTTTGACTTTCTAATTATTATCCTTGATTCATAAGAAATCTTTTTGGTCAATGTTATCCTCTGCGTCTCTTGACTTCTCTATGCCTTGCGAGTGTCACATTCTCCAAGTCCTCTTTCTTCAGTTTTTGTTCCGGAAGATTTGACTGTGATCTTTCTGATTACAAATACAACTTTCCTTGTTGTTCTTATTTTCTTTAAAACTTTCACGTTGATTCCATGTTCTGTCCATTTGGTTCCTTAGCATTCTAATGCAATGGTGAATTGGATCTAAAATATTGCTTGCTAAGTAACAAAGAGACCTCACTCAAAATTACAATCGTTAATTTCATAATGAATAAATCCAATTTTTAAAAGATATATATGGAAAAAAAAAGGTGCAATTATTATTATTTTTTTTTTTTTTTGTCGAATAAATATGTATTTCTTACTAATTCTAGTCTACATTTACTGTACATTCTACTGGCAATAGATTAGTTAATGTAACTACAGAAAGTTATATTTAAATTTTTGAATTATTTTTTTGATTTTAAATAATTAGTGGATATTATTAAACATTTTACTGCACAATTTACACAATAAAGAGCGTGAGTTCAATACCCAGTTAAGGCAGTGGAGAAATTGGAGAGGGAAATTAACATGGAGATAACTGATAAATGACATCCATTAAACATGGCACGTGGAACTAGAAAATCTACCCCAGTGAGCGAAATAAAGGGTTCAGATCGATATTCCAACCACCTGAAGAAGGCCGGAGTGTACAACGGCTGAAACGTTGTAATAAATATGGCAACAAAGATGAGGACAATAGTCCGAATAATGTAAATAGTGTACATAATATCTCATCTCAGAAATATAGACAGATACTGAAAGGCCGAATTGTTATGATAAATATGGCAACAAAGATGAGGACAATAGTCCGAATAATATAAATAGTGTACATAATACCACATCTCAGAAATATAGACAGATACTTACAAAAATTAATTTCTCGAAATTTCATAAATTAAATAGATGTAAAAAAATGTTTTTTTACCAAACATTTGTAAAATAAAAGCAATTATTTCTACAATAATTTAATGCATTTGTGAATAAGTCCTGAAATTATTTTTTCATTAAAATATCCAACAATTATTTGAAATTTTACAAGAATTTCCAAATCAATTTCTCACCTTAAAAACAACGTTAATATTTCCTATACTAATCTTTAGTCACCCCCACACACCTCCCACACAAAAAAACAAGATTTTTTAACGAAATTCCGAACGAAGTTCAAAAAATATAATTTAATAATCAAAAAATCATTTTGTCTTTCTTCTTAATAATAGCATAAAGATTTTGACG